GACGCGGGGCTCGAACCCACGGACCTTGAGATCATGACCTGAGCCGAAGTCGGACGCTTAACTGACTGAGCCACCCAGGCGCCCCTAGGCTTCTAAATGACTTGTAAAGAGAAACAACATGATCCAAGAGACAATGAAATGATGATGGGCCTAATGCTATCTGTAAGGTGCTGAAGAATGCCATTGCTAAGTTGACAGTCAGTCAAAATGTGTTTTAAGAACGAAGGTTAAATATTCATTTCCAAAGATGTGCGTGTGTGTGGAAATCTGGGAGAATTTGTCATCAGCACGGCCACGCCGAAGGAAAACACGGATGATGTTCTTCAAACAGGAGAACAATGATCCCAGATGGATGATCAGAGATGCAGAAAAGACAGCAGAAAACATAATGTGCGGGTATGAATGCTGACTATGTAGAAATACTGATAAAGGTCTTCTGGGGTTTAAAACGTAGGGAATAGTTTAGAAATGGTAACAACAGCATGCAAATCTGGAGGGGGCGAGTGAAGTTAGTGTTCTAAAGTCACTGCCTTATCAAGGAGAAGGGCACAATTATCAGCTAATGTTGGATCTTGGTTAAGTCAAAAACGCAGATTATAGTCGTTAGGCTGACCTTTCTAAGAATAGTTAAAGAGTGAAAAACTCAATTAATATTGGATTTTGGGAAGTCAAGGCTGAATGCTGTGGTCTTGCTATTGCTAAAAGAGTAGTAAAAGAAAAAAGATTTTCCAAGCTCATAGAGAGAAAAAGGGAACGACAGGAAACCACTGACTCAAAAAAGGGCAAGAAAGGAAGTAAAGGGAACATTGCCTAGATCGTACAGGTGGCCACGAGCAGGAACAGAGATTGAAACCCCAGTGCACCAGCAACCACGTCGTATATAAACGGGCTAAAAGGCAAAGAGTGTCGAAGTGGATTTTATAAGGACGATATGCTATTCAGAAGAGATAGGTCTAAAACTTAAAGACTGACAGAGAAAGTAGGAGCAAGATACGCTATGAAAATTCTAACCAAAAAAAGCCAGTGTAGCTTAGATTAATGACAAAGCAGACGTTAAGGGGAAAACACTACTAGAGTTAAGAGGGACATTTTATGATAAGCAGAGGGATTTTTTTCCACCGAGCAGTATTAAAATTCTAACTTTATACGAACCCAGTAACGTATCGCTTCTCGGCCTTTGGGCTCAGATCAAGTGAACCTGGTAACGTAACCTCAAGACACACAAAGCAAAAGCTGGCGATGCTCAAGGCAGAACACACAAATCCGCAATCGTGAGATTTTTAAAAAATATACCCCTTCAATGACTGAGAGAACACGCGGCCAAGAAACAACCCAAAGACCATTTAAGTTTGAACGACATCATTGGCAAGCTTGGTTTAATGGATCGGTTCTCTTCTGGATAATTTTTACAAGAGTGGCAGTCAGTCTAGACCAGTGGTGACACGTGGGAGCACTGGAGTCAGACAGACCTGGGTTCAAGTTCTGAGTCGTACAGATACTTTACCTGTGTGAACTTGGGGAATGTCCTTTGCCTCTGCGAGCCTCAGTTTCTCAGCCCCGAAGTGGGGTTAATACCAGTATCGACCACACGGGGTCGTTGTGAGATTCATGGACACGATGAGTGCAGAGAGCCTGGGCCCAGGGCAGTCACTGGGCCACCCTGTCCTTGTCTTACCTTACTCTTTTCTCGCAGCGTTTTGGAGATCATGTTCTGTTCAGTAGAACTCTTCTTCAGCTCCTCCCTGAGCTTCCTCATTTCTTTCTCCATGTCTTGGATTTGCTGAAAGAGTTTCAACAACAGGAAGTAAGAGTTGCTGAATCTTCTGAATCGCTATGGCTCATTTCCTTGGGTTCATTAAGGCAGAAACCTAATCTGGTATGAGCTTAATTGCTTCCCTTGGGGGAAAATTCTACATCTGCGGGGCAAAGTAGATGTTTTTTTCAATTGATATATGGGAAATTGGGTATAGGAAAATGATTAGTTTCTTTTGAAAATCAGCATGGACCCTGCATTAAACAGTACAAGATGTCCATCAACTCATCAGAAACTCTTCTGAGAAACTCTTTTCGAAATCAGTCTAAACAAGGGCTGCTTGGATGACACAATGGACACGGTCTGGAAGGACAGGACAAGGAAATTTTTCTTTTGTCCCCCTTGAGGCAGAAAACAGCAACGTTCCTAACACAGAGAAGAGCACGTCTCCCGGTGTCTAAGGCGCTGTATTTCCCAATGAATGGAAACATACATGCGAGAGGATTCGGCTGGCACAGGGAATGAACGATTTCATTTTAGTACTCGTATTTTTGTTGTTATTTGTTTCCAAAGTCATCGTCTATAAAGCCAAATGCTACCTCTTCTTTCTGCTTTGTTTTTATGAATTGGTGTAAAATTGTTATGTTCCAGTAAAAATACTTCGGGGAGAATTTCCTGTTAATGACAGTGCCCGTGCCTATGATAAACTGAGACGGTGGAACAGGAAGGTTTGGGCATCACAGAGCCGGGGGCAGGGGCCACAGAGTGTGTCCCCAGCCCAGCCCAGCTCCTGCCCGGCTCCAGGGCGAACATGGTGAGGTGGCCAGAACCCGCGCCCAGAGCATCCTGCCTTCCTATTTTCACCCATCTCTTCCTTGGGGCTGGAGGCAGCATTTCAAAGAATTAGGAGACGATGTTAACAACCCATCATTGAAGTCCCGAGCTCGTGCTATCCAATGGGCCAAGGAACCCCTCCCCAACACCCCCAAAACCCTGAAGGTCAAAGTCTAGCCTTTCTGGGGACACCTAGGAGGGAGGAGGTTCAACTCACAATTTTGCAGAGTTTTAACTCTTTCCCTTGGGCTTCCTGGTGCTCCTTCTGAGAATCCTCCTTTCTCAGTTCTTCTTTCAGCATGTAGCACTACACAGAGAAAGGTCAACAGGCCGCGGGGTTGGCCGTGGGTCCAGAGTCCCCATATTTGCCCCTAAGAACAGTTCCTGTTGTTTAATCCAATCACATCCCCAAATTCCAAGGGAGGCGAGGCCATTTGTGTCGGACGGACGCATGGAGTTCCTAGTTCACCCTCTCACGAGTTCTGGGGACCTGAGCGGAAGTCGGATGCTTAACCGACTGAGCCACCCAGGTGCCCCCTAAATTCTTCTTTTAAGAGTCAGCAATCTACACCACAGGGCAGACCCAGCTTTGCAGAGTCTGGATACTAAGGGTGGAGGAATTGGGTGTGTTTTCCTCTGTGACCAGCCAAAAGTGGCTTTCAGGAATACACAGAGGAGCTTTGTAAGTGAACCTGGAAGGCTCTTAGAGCTTTCTGTGAGTCACATCTCAGAGACACATCTGCCCCGGCCGAGGAAGCGTAAAGGAAACAGCTTTTTCTGGAGGGCAGCCTGGCAACACGCATTCAGAACATAAAGATATGGGGCGCCTGGGTGACGCAGTCCGTTGAGCGTCCGACTTCAGCCAGGTCACGATCTCGCGGTCCGTGAGTTCGAGCCCTGCGTCGGGCTCTGGGCTGACGGCTCGGAGCCTGGAGCCTGTTTCCGATTCTGTGTCTCCCTCTCTCTCTGCCCCTCCCCCGTTCATGCTCTGTCTCTCTCTGTCCCAAAAATAAACGTTGAAAAAAAAAATTTTAAAAGATGTGCCTTCTTTTGACCCAGAAATTCCCACTTTAGTAGTATGTCTTAAGGATGATGATCAGAGAAATCAACAAATCTGTAGGTTCAAGGGTGTTCCTCACAGTATTGTTAGCAACAGAGAAAAAAAAAGGAGGAAAAAAAAAAAAAGAAACAACCCATGTTTGATAACTGGATCGTTTTATTACCTTGTGCACATCCAGGAAAATATTATGTAACTTTTAGGACCAGTGAGCTATTTTGTAGCTTTTAGGACCCGTGATAGGAGCTTTTATTTATTAACACGGGAAAACACTAAGTAGTTAAAATATAAAAAAAAAAATTATGTATAGTATAAAATTTTAAATATTTTTTTAAAATTTATAATAGATGGAAACAAGTCTGGAATTTAATATACATTCAAATATCAATGTGGATTTCTAGGGGTAGCACTGTCTTTTCTAGCTCTTTAATTTTGCTTTTCAACCTCATCTACTTCTTTTGCTAAAATTAACACGCGTGACAAAGGGAAGGAGGAAAAGGAAAGACGGGTATCTGAGAGGCTCACGAGAGCCTCACCCTTGGGGGCCTGATAGTGGAGAAGAAATACCTCGTTCCAAGGGCGATGAGGAGGGGGAAATGGGGAGAAAAAGAATCCAAACGTACTTCAGGAAGTTGGATAATCAAACAGGCGCTGTTTTCCCGTATCTCTTCCCCTTGGCAATCCGCATGCGCCCCCATAAAGCTGTGACCCCCCGTGTCCAGGGCTTCAGTCTGCCTGGGAGAAATGACGGTGCAGGGCTCACCAGGCGGCTGGCCAGGCGCAGAGGCAGAAGAGCACGACTGAAATCAGCATCCCACTTCTCAGAAAATGCCTCTGTTTTCCCCCGTCTCACAGATGTGGACATGGAGACCCGTTCCGTTACCACAGAAGGAAGCTCAGGGATGGGATCCCGGTCTGTCCGGCCCCAAAGCTGACGCTCTGCCTTTTCTCAGTTCCAAACAGCGTTGTGCTAAAGCACCAGATGTTATTCCTTGTGCCTTATCTTTGGAACTCCAAGCTCCGTCTCCACCCCCGTAACCCTGATCAGACGACCACTGTGAATCTTTGAGCTGTCGCCTGAGATGACAGCTATTCGGTTTTACCTCGACTCAGGGAAACAGACAGACCACACAAATACCGAGGAACCTTCCTGGGGGCGACTGGGGGCTCAGTCAGTTGACCGTCTGACTCTCGATTTCCGCTCGGGGCCTGGTCTCATGGTTGTGAGCTCGAGCCCCGCACTGGGTTCCGCGCTGACAGTTCGGAGCCTGCTTGGGACTCTCTCTCTCTCTCTCTCTCTCTCTCTCTCTCTGCCCCTCCCCTGCTCATGCTCTCTCTCTCTTTCAAAACAAACAAACAAACAAATAAACACCTTATTCTACAGGATCAGGAGTCTAAAGTCAGGATTATGGGGTGCCTGGGTGGCTCAGTCGGTTAAGTGTCCAACTTTGGCTCAGGTCATAATCTCGCGGTTTGTGAGTTCCAGCCCCGCGTCAGGCTCTGTGCTGACTGCTCAGAGCCTGGAGCCTGTTTCAGATTCTGTGTCTCCCTCCCCTCTGACCCTCCCCCATTCATGCTCTGTCTCCCTCTGTCTCAAAAATAAATAAACGTTAAAAAAAAATAAAGTCAGGATTGAAGGACGCATTTGCAGAGTCAAAGTTACGTTTAAAAAGCTCCTTAACTGGCAGAGAAGCTGGCCCCTCGTGTGCCTTTCGTGTTTTGGGCCACCCGCCAGTCGGACTCCCTGTGCCTTCCCTATGCCCTTGGCCACCAGCCTCCTCTCGTGGTGGTGGGAGAGGAGACAGTAGCATTCGAAGCTGGGGTCCAGGTTAAAGGGGATGAATCATGGGACTCTGCTGGTTGCTTTTTGGGGGGCATCACTATGGTGATGGTGACCTGACACTCACTCTGGAGCTGAGGGCTTCAAGCTGATGTTCCTTTTCTTTGTTCTCACTTTTTAGTTGGTTCACCTCTTGTGTGAGTTGCTGAATTTGCTCATCCCTTGTTGACACTTCCTTTTGCAAAGATGACACCGTCCCTGTTAAAGAGAAAAGCAAAGACCCGCAGAGGTCAAAGAGGCAGTAAGACTTACTGTCACCACAGCTCTCAGCCAACCCGTGGCCGAGCCCCTTCCAAGCCCCGGCCACGCTTGGTGCTCGTCTACACCCGAGGAGGATGCGTCCAGGCTCCCGGAGCTGGGACAGGGATAACACTGAAGTGAGCTGAACGGTGTTTAAGACCTCGGTGGGAACAAGAAGTCAGCGAGTGTCGCCGTGAGACGGAAAGCCTTTCGGGGCCCCTGTGGGCTCAGGTTTGGCAGGAGAGGACACGCCATGGGGAACATACCTCGGGACCAAAGGCCCAGAACAGGGGAGCACCAGGAGCTTTTCACCAGAGCCACAAAAGGCTTGTGGCAGAAGGAGGCTGTCAGGGGCGGGATTCGCGCTCGCCTGACTTTGGAACCTGTTTCTACCACTTAGCGTTCTTGGACCTGTTACTTTCCTTACGAGTACCTTTCACTGTATCTCCCCCACAGAGTGATTATGAGGCTTTAAAAACATATAGAGAACATAGGAGAGTGGCTAACTCACAGTGTTTGCCACATGGTGGCACCTACTATTTTTTGTGGTAGCCAGCTCCTAAAATGGCCCCAGTGATCCCCGCCTCCCAGATCAGGCCCTTGCACAGCACCCTCCCACCACGGGTAGGGCTGAGGCGTTTAATCAGTAATGATACTACAGAAAAGATGGGACTTCCTAGGTGGGTCATAAAGGATGTTGCGGCTTCCCCTTTGCTCTCTGTTGGATCACTCACTTAGCGGAGGAAGCCCACCACCATGTTGTGGGGACACTCAAGCCACCAAGGGAGAGGCCCGCGTTGTGGGGAGTGGAGGCTTCCAACTAACAGCCACACGGGCGAGCCATTCCGGAAGCAGATCCTCTGGCTCCTGTTGGGGCTTTAGATGATGATGGGACAGTTGCCCCAGCCAACATCTTGACTGCGCCTCATGGGAGACCCTGAGAACCAAGTCACCCCCAGATTCCCGAGCTCCAGACGCTGGATGAGACGCTAAACAGTGGTTGTTGTTTCGGCCACTGCATTTTGGGATAAGCGGTTACGTAGCAGTAGGTAACTCATACATTGCTGGGCTCTCGTATTGAGGACAAGTGGAAAGAAGAGGGCAGAGGTGCTGTGGGGTTGGATTATCTCACATGGTTCTTTTCCGATTATGCCCAATTTTGTCGGCAGGTAACAATCAAGAAGGTACGTGAAATAAGGAACAAGATGTTCCAGAATTTCCTTTCAACGATAGGCTCTGTCACAGGACACAGTGAAGTTACTCCAAAAACAGGTCGGTCCCTTTGGGACTTGCCTTCATGCTTTGTGAGGAGGGACCAGAACTTTCACCGGGATGTAATTTGGCCTTACAACTGAGACAACACGTTTTGGTTTTCTTTTTCTTTTTTTCTTTTTGTTGCAGATAAAGGTTTGTTTTCTTGAATAATTGATCTGTGTTGTTGCTGAAGCCACAATGTACAGACGACAGAGAGGGGCTTCTTTCTTGGTCTCATCCTCTTCCTCCTTGGACAGAGTCTTGGCGATTTCCTCCTCTTTGGCCTGGAGCCAGTCTTCACCGCCCTTCGCGGGCTTCCCTGGTCTTAGATCTGCGGGCCTCCGCGGGGTGAGCCAGGAGCTTCTTGCGAGCCTTGCCTCCCTCCAGCTTCTGGATGTGCTCCGTGAGAGTGTGCCTGTTTCTGAACACATTACCCTTCACTTTCAGGTACGGGCTGTGAGACACGTGTCGCGGGCAATCTCCTTAGATTCACGGTATCTTCTGAGCAGCCGACACGGAATTCTCGTCCTCCCCATCCGGGTCACGTCTCAGGCATTCGAGCACTGGCGGTACCTTTTCTCTTACCAGTGTGCGTATGCCTGCCCTTCTGGCGGGCTGAAGTGTTTTTCCGGCATCGAACCCCGGAACAGACGGTCACAGGCTTCTGGATGATCAGCCCATCTTTGATCAGTTTCCGGATCTGCTGGTGGGAGCTGGCATTGGCGGTTTCATGTGTCTCACTGGGATCCGACCAGACCTTCTTTGTGCCACAGCGGAGGACCCGGGAGGCAAGCCTCTTTCGAAGCCTGAGCATGCTCATGGCTGCGGCCGCGGCCCCGAAAGGAAAGCGAGGCAACCCCTGTTTGAGTCTCTACCAGATACCGTGTGTATTAGGAAGCCTCTCTGTTCCGGATGCTGGGACAGTGAACCATTCCAGGCCCGTGTGAGCTTTGAGATTGTTTGCTCTGCATCGGTTGGGTCCTCTTTCCCTGTCCGCGTGTGTACGCTTCTCAGTACTCGGCTGAAGACTGGCGGGGGGGGGGACCCTCTAAAGGTCACCGGGCGCGGTCTCTCTGCACAGCCTCTCCTCCCGGGCACTCTGCCCAGCAAACTGTGGCTGCGTGGGCCTCTCCAATGCCGTCCCCTCAACCTGGGGGCCCACTGGGCTGTGCCTGGGTTCTCCTTCCCATGCTGTGGTCTGGAGCCCGTCTGCAGGCAGTAAGCTGGGGCGATCGTCTGCTTTGTTCCCTCTCCCCTGGATCACTGTCACGTGGGAATAATCGTTTCAGATGCCTTTTTTCTTCTTGTGGTTGTTTCAGGCAGGAGAGCCAATCCAGTTCCTGCTATCCCATCTGCCCTGTAGGTTTTTCTTGCCTCTCTCATCGCGGAAGCAGGCGCTGTGATGGCCTGTGTCAGCCTGGTCCCTGAGGGGCTACAGCACGGGCCAGGCCCCTGCTAACCCATGATGGACCCCAGATGGAAACAAGACATGAGCCCGTCTGTTGTAAGCCCCCGAGGCTCAGCACAGCCCAGCCCGGTGCTTCTCAAACTTGAATGTGGGCAGGACACATCTGGGTCTCACCGAAGGGCAGATTCCAGTTCAGGAGGCCTGGGCTGGGTCTGAAACTCTGTGGTCCTCACGAGGACCCAGGGCGTGCTGATGCCCCCAGTGTTACCCCAACCCGGGTCTGTCCAGTCCCTGAGTGGAGAAAGTGGTATCCAAGAGAGGCCTGAAGCATGGATGAGATCTGACAGGCTGGTGTCGGGGAGGGAGACAAGGGCTCAGCGTGTTATGTTCCTGGTGCCCAGAGCAGCACCCGGCCTGCAGGAAGTGCTCAGCAAATATCCGAGGGCGTTGTCAATCAGGGAAGAGTATAAATAGGCTTGGCAAGTCGGGGGGTGGGGTGCAGGTAGGGGTGGTAAACTGCAGAGTGAGATAGAGGAAAAGCCGGTGGTCAGGCTGCCCCGGTGCACGGCCTACAAGTTCACATAGAGATAGATGGCGATTCGCCGTGGCTCAGCGCCGAGCTTGGCTTTTACAGCTATGGCCGTGTCTCCTGCTGTGTACCGGGTGCTGTGAGAGCAATACGCCCAACCCAGGCTCACTGCCTGCTCCCCAGTCACCTGCTTCGTTCCACCCCTCCCTTCCTCTGTTCATGGCTTCATCCTCTCCAGGTCTCTAGGCGTGTGATTTCTCTCTAAAAATCCCAGTGGCTTCCCATCACCCTTAGAATAAAACCCAGACTCCTCCCCTGGATCTATTCCCTCCTCCCCGCCTCCCTCTCTGACCCTGCCCTCCCCACTCCCCTGTTCCCTGGACTCCAGCCACACTCACCTTCAGCTCCTCTCACATGGCCACAGGCCCTTTGCACTTGTGATCTCCCTACCAGGAACACTGTTCCCTCTGGCTTCCTGACTGCTCTTCCTTTTCGCCTCTTCAAAGACCCGTCCTTGCCTACCCACTGAGCTATTCTCCCTTTGCTTCAGCCCCCGAAGCATGTGGCTGCCACACTGCCTGGTTTTCTCTGAAATGGGCTCGTTTATTTACCTACTTTTAGTGTCTGTCACTCACTCCCAAGTGTGAACCCGATGCGTACAGGGAGGGTGTGCTCAGGGCTCTCTCTCCCCAGTGCCTAGAACAGGGCCTGACACCTACTAAGTGCTCTATAAACATGCTGAATGAATGAAGGGATCCAGGCTAAGAAACAGCCGTCCCTGGACAGTGTGTTGGTTCCCACCCTAAGGCTTTTAGCACAGAACCACCTCTGTGGGCCAATTAGAAAATATTTTCACGGGGGCCTGAGTGCACTGGCGTGAAATGGCTGAGATGATGGGTGCCCTAACGTGGTGACCCCACTTTGTCCACATTTGGGCTTGCCATCGAAGGCCAGCTGACCGAGGCCGCCGCTCAGCAGACACAGCTAAGAGATAACCTTGGCTCAAATAATTACCGGGCCCTGCCCCAGAAACTGGATGGCAAAACCCCTCTCTCGAGGGTGCACTCGAACTCACCGACACAGGCCACTGAGAAGGTGTCTGAGGCTGTGCCCCAGATCAGGGAGCAGCGGCTCGGTGGTGAGCTGGCGATGTCTGCCGTGGCCTGGGAAGGAGGGGGAGGGCATCAGCTCTCAGGCCCAGGTCAGAGAGCGCTCACCTGAGGTGACGGCATTGTCCTTCCTCAGGTTCTCGCCCTCGTGCTTCAGGGATGTGATTTCTGAGTTCCTCTCAGACAGGGTCTGGCAGAGCACCTGGTTGTAGCCTTTCTGCAGGGCGCTGATCTGTGGGAGGAGGCGACACACAGTCAGAGGGGGCTTGCCCAGGTCTGCCGGATCTGCTGGTACTTCTCCGCAGTTGGGCAACAGATTTGGATTGATCTTTGGTGGGGTGTCGGGAAAGCCGTGCTTTTGACTTCGAACGGGAGAGGGCCTGTTCCTTCAGTGATCACCATGTCCTATGGAATGAAACCATGAACCTTATCTTTGCGCCCAGAAAGTGGCTCAGGAGCAGCTGTCACCGGGGATACCTGATCCCTCAGACGCCTCCCGACCACCTTTGGACTCTCAGCCATAAACAGACCAAGTGTCGGTTCCAGATCGTCCGGCGCTGACTGGATGGCAGAGCAAAGTTCGTGAAAGGGAAGCAGGTTACGAAAGTAATTCACTCAAAAGATAACAACAGTAGCTCGTGTCTCGTGGGACGCTCGGAGCTCACAAAGCCTTTTCACAGATGACACGTCGACAGCTCCTCACAGCGCCGCAGAAGGCCGAGGTTCCCGTCAATTCTCCCATTTCCCCCATTGAGCAGACAGAGTTTCGCAGAGACGAGGTCACCTGCTCGGGATCACGTGGCTAGGCAGGAGAGGAGTTACGATTCAACTAGTGTCTAGGTGCCCAGTTCTAGCTCTTTCCACCTTGCTGGATGGCTCCAGGAACCAGCATAGAGCACAGCGTGGACCCGGGAGCCCTCCGCTTCTGTTTCCGGCACTTACAGGCTGACGAATCCAGGGAGGACACCGGATTCTGTCTCACCGATTCACTCTGTACGTGGGGTGATGGTGGTCCCAACCGCACAGGATGGTTAAAGGGATTTTCGTAAGTTAGGGCACGGACAAGTGCTCGGATCACGCCTGGCACACGGCATACGGGGAGGAGCCGTGACTACCCTCTGACCTCACCAGGTGTGTTTTACCTGCGGCTTCTCAAGTCTGTCGGGGGCGGGGGGAAGGTAGGTTGGCAGTATTTTCACGGGCATTCGTAAGCCCTGCCGGGGCTCACTTCAACACCAGTGTGACCGTTAGGCAGAAGTGCCGTGATTCCTGTTAACACGCTTATCCTGCTGTAGGTGAAGCGTAAAAAATGATGGTGGGGGGGGGACGCACTCAGGTAATGCAAGTGAGGGCGCAGGGGCCTTGCCACCAGGTGGCGCTCATAGTCCTCGTTCTGGGTTTCTGTCCCTGAGACTTGGCATTATGATTGGTAAAATTAACAGAAGCATCAAGGCTTCACGAGTTTTCTGGCTCATTTCATGAACCCTCATTATTCAGGTTCTATGACAATTGGGGCAGTTACACTTTCTTTTTCCCCGGGGGTATCTCCACTGGAGAGGGGGCATTCGCTAGAAGGTGGTGGGGACACAGATGACTGTCCCCCACGCTCTCCAAGGCTATACTTTTGCATGTTTGTGCTTTTGAAACTCTGAGTGAAAACATTTCTTTCACCTTGTACTGTTCTCGGTGGGGGG